GCCACACGGCAAACGACACAATTGGCCTCTTGGCAGAAACATTTGGTGAACGTATCATCTCATTTAGAGGTAGTGTCAACTGGCCCCCACGGTCGTGTGATATCACGCCAACAGACTAGGTGGGGATATGTTAAGTCTCAAGTATACGCTGACAAGCCACAAGCTTTAAATGACTTGGAAGCTAACATTCGTCGAGTTATTGGCGGAATTCAACCACAGCTGCTGGAAAGAGTATTCAAAAATTTGACTTCTCGATTGGGCTTTCTACGCGAACGGAATGGAGCCCATATGCCAGAAATCATTTTTAAACGTTAATCTCATGACACTGTAGTTCAAATAAATGCTTTTTTATGTCAATGCAGGTTGTTTTTCATTTTTTTTTATTTAGTTTTAAAAACCGCACTAATAAAAAATCACCCTGTATATATCCAGGCGCTTTTTTCATTTTTTCTAAATTAGATTTTTAATAGTAATTTTCCCATAAAATAATGGGAGAAAGTGTGTGTCAGATTGCTGATACCATTTATTTATTGAAATGTTGATAGCTTATTATATGAAATAAACAAAATTACCAAATTTGATTAAAATATATCCACAAACAAGCAAACTACAACAATTTATTTATTCTCCACAACCGTTAGGCATTCAACAACGCTTCAATATACAAAATTATTTCTTTGCTCTACAAAAGGGTGAAGAATCAGATATTCAAAATTATAGACCAATTTCTATTCTTCCATCTATATCAAAAATTTTTGAAAAAGCAATGCAATTAAATCTCATAAGACACCTAGAACTATATGATCTTTTTAATCACGAACAACATGGCTTTCGGAAAAATAAATCCACTACCACTGCTTTAATAAGTTTTGTTGAATCAATCATAGAGTCGTTAGATAAGCAAGAGAAAGTCACCGGAATTTTTATGGACTTATCCAAAGCGTTTGACAGTATTTCCCACCCAAAAATGATTGACAAACTTAATAGTCTAGGAATCAGGAATTCATATTTAAAATGGTTTGAATCATACCTAACTGATAGAGAACAATATGTAGAAGTATCAAGAACTGAGAAAAATCAAGTCATTAAATTTCAGTCTACATCAGAAAAAGTTAAATATGGAGTACCCCAAGGGTCAATACTTGGACCATTATTATTTATCTGCTACATAAGTGATATGCCGAATTGCCTAAGTAAATTAAACTCTATCAAAAATCAGCTCTGTTTGTACGCCGATGATTCAAACCTTATAATGTCTGCAAAAACTGGTATAGAATTAGAAATTCACTCCTTTGTGGAGTTAGCAAAAATTAAAGATTTCTTTATCACTCACGATTTAATTTTGAACACTCAAAAGACTAACTGCATATCATTTTGCACTAAACAAAGACAAATTAAAGAGGAAATAAATATTTACATAGATAGTGAAGAAATTATGCAAGTTGAAAATACTAAATTTCTTGGCCTTATCATTGATAGAAATCTAAGTTGGGATCTGCACGTGGATAATGTCTTAAAGAAAATTAACTCAGGAATCTATGCCATCAGAAGACTGTATTATCTCTGCGATACGAATGTATTAAAAAGTGTTTATTTTGCCAATGTTCAATCCCATGTTTCTTATGGGATCTGTGTCTACGGTGGAACATCTGCTCAAAATTTGACAAAGATACTAATTGGACAGAAAAGAGCATTAAGGGCCATATTAAACTTTAAGAACAATGAATCTGTCAAAACTTTCTTTACTAAATTTGAAATTTTGACTGTTTACAGCTTATACATTTTAGAATGCATAATGTTTGTAAAAAAAATAATATAAATAGTTTTATTACAAATAAAGATATCCACAGCTATAACACTAGGAATAAAAATAAAGTAGTATTACCAAATCATAAATTAGAATTGTTCAAAAGAAAAACTTCATACAACGGTATCAGATTCCTAAATCACATACCAGATCACATAAGAAGCATGCAGGATGATAGAGGTTTCAAAGTGAAATTGAAAGAATTTTTGATACAGAGGGCACTTTATTCATTTGATGACTTTTTTAAGTGTAGAACAGATAATAGATCTTAAAATTCAGACCAACCTTTGCAACCTGGAGTAGTGTGATCAATACTGTCCTACTAATAATTTTGATTGTAGCCTACCTATTCATGTAATTATTTTTATGTTAATTGTTTGACACTATTCATGTAAACATGTATTTACAAATATGAATAAAGATCTTTTGATTTGATTTGATTTGAAATGGTTTGGAAAGAAATTGTGAAATTTTATGTTTTTAGAGTAAAAAATGGAAGAAAACTAATTTTTAACCCATAAAACACCTTATAACCCCCTGTTCCAATAGTCTGATCGTTCAAATAAATGTAGGTTAACATGTTTTTACCAAATTTAATCAAAATCGGATCATTTTTGCTTGAGCTATTACGCTAACGGACACACACATACAGTGTAGGCCTACACACCATTTAAAACAAAAGAAATCTAAATTCATCAAAATCACGAATACTAGAAAACATAATCATAATAATGGATCATAAACATAAACAAATGGTTTTTGGCCCGAAAGTAAACAAAACCATATGTTAATTAATGCCATTAGTATAGGTGTTTTCAATTCAATTCAATTCGTTTATTCACGGCAGAAGCCATTGTACAATAATGCCATTACATACGGGAGATAACAAGCAATAATAAATACTAAATAATACCACAAGCAATAACAAATACTAAATAATACAATAAATGAATACAAGATGCATAAGGATAGTAATACTACTGAATAGAACATACAAAATTAGTAACAGGTGGACTATGAACAAAAGAAGCTAGCATTACAAAAAGATATGCAAGAGGATATCAGGTGACGTGCGAAAGGCATAATAATAATACTGAAAGAGAAACAAGATGCATACAAATCATAATAACAAGACATGTAATAATATTAATAAATAGTGCCATACAATAGTGAGTAAAAATCAGACTCTGGACAAACCGAAAAAGAAAGAAGCTAGCATTGCAAGTAAAAGTACAGATGGTTAACGAGCAAAGAGATATAACTGAGAATGAGACACAAGATGCATACGATATATAATAACAAGACATAATAACAATAATAATAATAGTGCATACAATGGTAATAAGTAGCTCTGACCAAGACAAACACAATAACAGGATCGACATGAATGAGAGGTGATGTATAATTAGACCAAGCATGGTCATGATTAAAAAAATAAAAATTCAAAAAAAAAAAAAAAATGTTTGCTTTCGGACCAAAAACGTCATTTGTTTATGTTTATGATCCATACCGGTATTTTTCTAGTATTCATGATCAAAATCTATGAAGTCAGATGAATTTTATTTATTTATTTAACAAACAAGTTTATTGTATTTGTTAAGATAGAAACAACATGACTATGACATTACTGTTGAAACTAGTCGTTGTTCAATTAAATGATTTTTAAAAAGGGTAGGCCTACTCAGTTTTTAATCATGTATATATATATATATATATATATATATATATATATATATATATATATATTTGTGTGTCCGTGAACTTGAGTAATTTTTGTCCGTTTTTGATGAAATTTGGCTTGAAGGTGTAGGGCGAGATAAACTTGAATGAGTTCCTAAACCATCACGATCGGACTATGGGAACGGGGTTTTACGGGGAGGTTTAGGCCCATGCGGTAAAAATTTGTTTTTCTCAAAAACCCTTTAAACAAAAAATTCCCAATTTCTGTTAGTATCATTATTTAGAGCTTAAAGAACAATTAATTTAGTATATTTAAGGGTTTTTTTTACTGTTATTGGTCACGGGAAAAATTAAAAAAATTGTAAATATAAAATTACCATGCTATTCTTATGGAGAATGACAATTTAACTACTGTTATACTAAGCTATTATTATTCTACTAAAAAAACCCACTTTATTACCCTCTCAAGAATGTACTGTGGCTCCTGTATGACAAGAGCCTTGTGCACCATGCAGCACGTCATGATCCTGCAAACAGTGTCTACTGTTCTCATCCCCGCTACTGCTCTGAATGGAGTGATGTGTTCAAATTTGTTGAGGCAAAAAATGAATCGAATAACAGAATTTTGCAGTTTTTGCATTCGGTTCATGTCTTCTACAGAGATGCTGTTTCCATAAGCAGGGAGACAATATGTAAACACCAACAGGACTAGTGACTGCATGAGGCGCAGCTTTGCATATTCTGGCAGCAGACTTCTGAAGCTGTACAGCCCTCTCAGCCTACCTAGTGCGCGCTGCGAAGCAAGTGTGACATGGTCGGTCAGAGAAGGTGAGGCTGCTATCAAGCACAACGCCAAGAGTCTTTGACTTGTCATAAAAAGTCAAAGATTCCCTGCTGAGCACAACACTCACTCCTCTCTCGCTGAAGGACTGCACCAAGTCACGTGGCGCTGTATGCATCACAGTACACTTGCCAGTTTTAAGTTTCAACCCATTTGCCCCTGACCACTAAAGGATTTTTTGTAGGTCAGAGTTAATGAAATCGAGTGAAGCTCTCATCTGGAATGGCTCATAGGACAAGTGCAGTTGTGAGCCATCGGCATACAAATGAACTGTACAATGTTGCACACAGCTAGGAAGGTCTGCCGTGTACAAATTATTTACGTGAACCCGACGTATCATTGACTTTGAATACTGCAAATAGACATTTCATTTAAGTGAACCAGAAGTAAGCCTACTATTGACTTTGGAAAAGTATTGGATTAATATGCTAGCGCTAGCTCCACTCAATATTGCAAGCAGCAAACTGCATTGTACACCTAGTTATTATAACGCATCATTGCTTGTAATAAAAAATAAAAACTGTTGGAAATCATAGGCTACTTAAATATGTTTATTTTTTTACCTCCCAAACAAATTGAACACCACGAGCAACGCTTGGTCCCCTGGTACTCTTTATTATGAGTGTATCCACTAAAATCAGACAAAAACTAATTCTGATATATTGGTTCTAGGACCAACCTAGCTCAACAAGATGTTTCATCAAGTATTCATTTGCAACTCAACCAAAGACCCAGATTCTAAAGATTCGTTACTGGCACTGGAACCAAACTATCAGTAAGTATACCTAATTTGATATTGATACAATAAATGTGTGTTATTTGTACTGTTACTTAATAGGCTAATAATTAGAATAACCTATTATTAGAAGCTAATAATTATGTAGGTAAGACTTAATTTTAAGTCCTACCTACCTATTCACCGAGAAGAGTAATCCCAGATAGGTTTAATGAAATAAAATATAGCAAAATGTTTTTCTAGTGAATGAGTATGGAAATAACTATGGCAGATATGAAAGGTAAATTTTAAAGAAATCTTTTGTTCAATGTTTGAATGGGTCTTCATAGCAGTCATTAATTTACACTCTTGAAAAAAATGTTGTGTTAGCCTATTGTAAATCTTAAGTACAATAATATTGTTGGATATGTATTTTTTTATTAAAGAGTTTGCAATATGGAATGACGATCAGGAGCTCTCTTTTTTCTTGATTACACATCAATTTATTTGAAGAAAACCAATTTAGTGCTTATGATATTGATTCATTAGCAATTAAATCAAGCTCATGAATATTTCTATGTGTTGCAACCAAAGTTGTGTTATCAGCATATACAACAGTGTCTACACAAACATTCCTCGGCAGGTCATTTATCGAGATTAAAAACAAGAAAGGTGCCAGAACTGAACCCTGTGGAACACTTACTCCAACCAATTTTAAGTCAGACTGACTGCCTCCAACATAACAACTGCATTCTGTTAATTCTAAGACAGCTGCAGTTGTTGATTTGCCCTCCCAATCCAAACTGTGAACTTGTCTCAGTCCCATAAACCTGAGCTCACTATTTAATACATAGCATTGCTAAAGTGTTTAAAACGGCATAAATGCCAGAACCAGGTAAATTTGTCAAAAAACTTGCAATGATAAAATTGCATTGTGGTATAGTGTTCAAGGCCTGATAAAGTTTCTTATTGGCGGAGCAAAGCAAAGCTCTTATACTGCACTCCTGCTTTTGTTTTACAAATGCTCCTCCTGAAGGGCTGAAGTGATCTGCAAAAAATTTAACACAGAGTAACCAACCATGGGAAGGTATACTGTACATCTGAAATGGTACAAATCAAACCACAGGGATTTTTACTATGTGAATTTAAACTTTTATAAATTTACCATGGCTCTTATGGGTTAATTGATCACCATTACATTATTTGTGAGATTACAATAAAAAAGGTAAACAAGAGTCACGACATATGTTAGTCAACGAATCATCTATAATTCATAGTTGGGAAAGTTAGTCAAAAATTCTAACTAGTTAGAAGTTATAAGTTAGTCCCGTAAAAAGTAACTGATAGAAGTTATAAGTTAGTTAGTTTAAAAAGTAACTGATAATAATAATAATAATATCACTTTATTGTCATAAAACATTTCACATTTCCAGCAAAGCTGGTGAAACAGATGACATTGTCATTTCTTAGCTAACAAAAATAAAAAACTAAATCTAAGAATTAAAATTAGAATTAAACTAGTCACTTTTTAAAAAACAATCATTTAAATACTCTTCTATTGTATAGTATTTCTTTTTTATAAGGAATAATTTGAATTCATTCTTAAACTTTATATATTATTAATGTTTTTAAAATGAGCAGGTAGACCGTTGTAAAGCCTCAGACTCATATAGTACGGTGATCTTTCGTAAACACATAGCCGATGTCTTGGATACTGCAAATTATTTTTTGAACGTGTTGGGTAGTGATGAATAAATTGATTTTTTATAAATAATTGTGGATTACTCTTAAAGTATACCAGAATTTTATAAATGTAAAGTGAAGGCATTGTTAAAATTCCATATGTTTCAAAAAGCGGTTTACATGACTGATAGAAGTTATTAGTTAGTTGAAAAACTAACTGATAGAAAATAAAGTTAGTTTTAGTAGAAATTAGTTGTTCACTGGGCAGTTGTTTTAAAGTATTTTTTAATGTCACATCTTGGTTACTAATATATACTATAATATGAGTAAAGATTGCGCAGGATATGATTTAAACAATGGCTCCTACGATTTCCTCCAATTTCAATGCTATTGAAAATTGCTTGTATAATACATTTGCATTGTATGATGTCTTACTAACCAAAGGGATAATTACGACTGTTCAAAAACATTAAGTGTTTTACTGCAAAACAATATACACTGACATTGAACTAAAAATCTAAAGGAAAGGCCAAGGAGATTTGTATTTTTGACGATGCACCACACGAATTGATGCGTTATTACACCATCCCGTAATTATAGTTGCAACGTCCCACGATCCCAGTGACTTAATGCAATAACGGTCGTCAGATAACAGATGTTATGTATCATGAGTTTTATATTGATTGAAGCTTATTGTGGACATTTTATAGATTGATTGTCCAAATTAAAAAGTTTTGTAGACTAAATTGAGGATAAGTGGATGTCTAACAAAAACGAATTGACTTTACTACTTAATTAATCGTAGTAAGACTGAAAATATTTGTAGGCTTATAAGCTCTATTTTTTACCTCTTGAACAAATCAAACACCTCGAGCAAGATCGGTCCCCTGGTACTTGTGTTTTAATCAAACATTGTCACATTTATTTGCATTACTACAACATAAACAAATGACATAAAACTTGTCAGATAATGATCATCAACTAAGACAATGTTTTGACACTTGAGATGATATATCAATCACCAAACAAAACATTTCCCCTTCCCACCCATCAGTGCTTGGGGTGTTGATAATGGCCTTCACTACCCTTCCACAGGCCCACTGCATTCCAAAGCAACTGGACTTTGACTTTCTCTTTCCCCACCCCCGGCGTTGTTTGTCTACAAGGGCACTGACCTCTCACGGCCGCACGCAACCCTCACTGATCACTTGAAATAAATAACCAGTATTTGAGATGCTTCCGCATAATTGGGAAAGTTAGTTGAAAATTCTAACTAGTTAGAAGTTATTAGTTAGTCCCGTAAAAAGTAACTGATAGAAGTTATTAGTTAGTTAATTTAAAAACAAACGAATAAAATAGAAGTTAGCCATAAAAACTAATGAATAGTGCTATTCGATAGAATTTCTATTTGTTATTCCCAAGTATGTCTGTAATGGCACATTACAAAATACCATAAAGAGAAAAGGGAAGAACAATCGGATTAATATCATTGAGCATAATTTACTACAAAATGAATAACCAATAATTAGGATCGCCGGAATTAGACTGTGTAGACACACCATCGACTTTAAATATTACTCCAAATAGCCATTCTATTTATGTAAATCCAATATAGGCCTACCATTGATTTGGATGCTGCAAGTAGACTTTCCATTTTACGGGTTAACTAGACGTACCATTAATGCAGACTTTGAATAGGCACTGCAAATGGGAATTCCATATTCCATATTTGTGAACCAAAGATACAATTGAGTTTGGATACTGCAAGTAGACATTCCATTGACGTGAACCAGACGTAACTACCATTGACTTTGGATACTGCAAGTATACAATTAAGCTTATTGCAGGATTAATAAGACATAAGACATAAGACATTTATTCATCATTTATACATAGGGTCAACCGGGGCTAATATGAACACACCAAAATATTGGGGCTAATATGAACAATGACTTAAAAAGTCATTTATCTGGGATTTTTAATCATGAAAAAAATATAATTAGAAAGGAAATTTATTGTATTTTTTGTGTCCATAATGAGAAAACTTCAAATTTGACTTTTAGGTATTTAAAAAAAATACTTTGTTAAAACACTTTTTTTCCGCCCAAAAAACTTTTCCGCGCAAAGTGAAAACTTTTGTTATAACAATTTTTACATTGGTTGTAGGAATAATCTTAAGCCTGAATTTTGTTAAATAAGAATTGGGGATTATTTTTCTTTTCCCAAAGTTAAAATATATTAATAACAGCCAAAGTTATAAGCTTTCAAAGTTGGGGGGCTATTGTGAACAGTGACATGGGGCTATTATGAACAACAATATATACAGTATATATTGTACTATATATACAAGCTCAGGCTGACGGGGAGATCGAAGTGATGGGATTTAAATCCTGTGATGAGGAAAAAAAATCATTCCTGAAAAAAGAAGATGATATATTTATTGTTTCTACCACTGACATTTTGGGGAAACTTCCAGCCCCTAATGTATGTGGAACCAGTGATAGACATAAGTATGTCTTCGACAAAATTGTCGAAGTTTTTGAGGCGTAAGTTCCTCAATAAACTTCTTTGAAGGCCTTACAGTGATAAAACAGTTTTAATTTTACAAAGACAACAGTTAAGGTGTTGAATAGGCCTAGCCCACATTTTTATATTTACCTAATAGGCCTAAAAGTGCAATAAACTGTCATTTGCCTAAACAAACAATTTGCATTGTCTTAAATTATTGTTTTTTTAAGTGCTTTTAAAAAAACAATTTGTATGTGGAAGAAATTTTTTATAAATACTCAGGTATGTTAACAGATAATTTTTTTCTTGTTTATATCTTATTATTAGCCCTGTATAATATTTATAAATGGTTTTTAAAAAAAGGGTTACCGTAGGGCGACCCGCGGCTCTCCAAAGATACCTTCATATCTCAAAAACGATTTAAGATAAAATATTGAGACTTATTGCCACTGGTAGACTAGACCCTAGGCTTGTTCACAACAGCCCCCACATATGCCTAGTGTTGTAAATAACAGAGTTATTAAGAGTGTTCACATTAGCCCCATGGGCCGTTCACATTAGCCCCTTTTAGCGGGGCTAATGTGAACAGTGGTTTTTAATTTTTTTTTAAATAATGGTTACATTTATGGTTTTTGTTAGTAAATAAATAGATTCAGCTAAAAGAGCTGTATACACTACTATTTTTTCTTTTCTTCTGTCATTTACCATTTTTGAGTTAATGTCAAAAGTTTACTTTTTTTGTTCATATTAGCCCCGGTTGACCCTACCGTATGTAATGCATAGACAGGTTAAATTGTTGGTAAATACATCTCGTATTCAGTCTTGAGTAAATAAATGTATAAATATATAAATAACAAGTAATTCAGTCAATACAGTCAATATAATACAAGAGTTAAAATTGAAATTGAGCGATGAGCAAATAAATACAAAATTTACAGACCATGGCAAGAGATTAAAAATTTGACAGTAATAAATTTAAAAAATCGTGCAACTTGTATCTAAATCACAGTTACATCCTATTTCAAATATTTTTTATTAACTTATCAGACATGCTAAAAAAATCTTCGATACGGTAGAGAGGGTTGTTTACTAGAAATAAAAACAGCCTTTTCTTAAAATTCTTAAAGTCTAAATCTGTCACAGCCAGAGGTAATTTATTTAATAGCCTGATACCCATCACAACATGTCCTGATCTTGTTTTTTCCAACCGTACCTGAGGCAGATCAATCTTTTTACAGTTTCTGGTACTAATACTGTGCACTTCATTTCTCATTTTGTATTTAAAGCTATTCTTAAAAGTAAACAATAATAATTGATAAATGTATAAGTTAATGATGGTCAATATTTTTAATTCAATAAAAAGGGGTTTACAGTGTGCTTCACTATTCTCTTTACACATTATTCTGATGATTTTTTTCTGAGATAGAAGTACCTCGTGGATTTTAGGAGAGCTACCATAATAAATTAAACCATATGAAGCAATTGACTGAAATAACGCAAAATAAGCAGATTTTACATAATCAAAAGGGACATAGTGCACTAATCTAGAGAACAAGAAAACAATTCTTGAAAGCCTATTTGTTAGTTGATCAATCTGCTGTGACCAGGTTAACTGTTTATCAATCAAAACACCCAAAAACTTAACATAATCTTGTGAATCAAAAACATCAGGTACTTTTCTTAAGCTAAATATGACAGATTTTGTTTTTTCATTGTTCAAGAGAAAAGAGTTTGCTGCAAACCAGTCTGAAATGTTACCAACTACATCTTTAACATGCAAACTTAATAAATCTATATCAGAACCATGCACAAGAAAGGTCGAGTCATCAGCATATAAATAGGTATCACAGAGAACATTATTAGGCAAATCATTTATCGATACTAAAAATAGAAACGGCCCAAGTATGGACCCTTGCGGGACTCCGCATACTACATTAGACATAGCTGACCGCTCGCCCTTGATACAAACCACTTGTCTTCGGTTGCTTAAGTAAGAATTTAATAGGTTAAGGGCAGCCCCACCGACTCCGTAGTGCTGTATCTTGCCCAAAAGCATCCGATGGTCGACGCAATCAAAGGCCTTGCTAAGGTCGCAGAAGGTGACCCAAGCAAAGCCTCCGCCCTCAAGAACATCATGTATTTTAGCAATCAACGCCCCAACAGCGTCGGTGGTGCTGCGCAACCTCCTAAAACCGAATTGTGATTCAGAAAGAAGGCCCAAAGCCTCAAAATGGTCACTTACCTGACGAAAAATGATGTTTTCTAACACCTTTGACAGGGCAGGAACCAACGAGACTGGCCTATAATTTGCAGGGTTTTTCTTGTCACCCTTCTGATTGGAGTTATTTTAGAAATCTTTAATAAATCAGGAAAAGTTCCTTCTTCAAAACATAGGTTAGTGGCAGTGACCAGCTGTGCCGCTATAATATCACCAACACTTTTAATGACGAAATTTGACATTCCGTAGAAGTCTAAAGCTTTGGAATTCTTTAAGTTACATATGACCTTTTTTACATCTACTTCATTCACAGGTTGGAAATAAAATGCTTGAGTTGCACGAGGCACATTACATAAATAGCTATCAGAAACAGTGTTAGGCTTAACTATACCAGATCTTATTACATTTACAGAATCAACAAAATAACTATTCAAAGTGTCAGGACTAATAGGTATATCACAGCAAGGACTAGAATCTTTGAAACTTATAATAACTGACCAGGCCCCCTTGCACTTGTTTTTGGAACTTTCTATTACATTAACATTGTGATTAAATTTAGCATCTTTAATTTTCTGTTTGTAGGTTTTCCTTAAGTTGCGATAAAGCAACCTATCTGCCTCTGAGCCAGTCATATGAAATATTTCCAGATATAATAATATGCTAGCTCCGCTCAATATTGCAAGCAGATAACTGCATTGTACACCTAGTTAATATTTAGAATAGATGTATAGGGTAAATCACTTGCTTACTACTTTTTCTCACTTGAACTTCTTTTTTTGTTACAGTGAAAACAACTCAGTGAACGTAAAACAGGTAAGTTTAAAATCTCCAGGTAGTTTTATTGAGCGGAGCGAGCGAAGCTCTTTGAGATCGGAACTTATGCAAACAATGTAATCAGATAACTCAATAACAGCTGAACATATTCAAACCAAACTTTCCAGGGTTATTTTGACAAACAATGAACGTGTTATTACACAAACAAATTTCAATTTTATAATGTATGTACAAATTAAAACTAATCTAAAATTTTTAACATTGGCCTTATGGGTTGCCATGATGGTTACCAACAAATTAACGTAAATGTAAATAAAGAAAGACTAATGACATTTGGTTATGACAAAGTACATCTACAGTAAGCTAGCAAATTACAAAATACAGTAAAAAGAAAACAGTCCAATTAATACCATTGATCATTGATTACTACTCCTCTTAGGTTGTATTACTTAACAATGGTATATAATATGAATGTTTCAATGTTGTTTTACCATTGGCGAAAAATATTTACTGTCTGGATTTTCAGAACGATTCATGTTAGAAATGTTTGAGTGATGTCAACTACATTTTTACTTTCTCCCCCTATACCATAGTATATGGAGAAAGTATTGTTTTCGACAAAATTTTTGAGTTTGAGTTTTGAGTGGATATATTCGTTTTGGGTCCCCCCGGACCCAAAAAAGTGGTTTTTGAAGTGATGTCTGTGTGTGTGTGTGTGTGTTTGTATTCACCGAATAGTGGCATCCTTCACAGGCACACGGCCGTACTGTGGCACCTTCAAAAATTGTGGCACCTTTTTCAGGGTGCCACAGCTAATTCGATCATTTTTGAGGTTTTCCAGCATTATTACGTCGTTTAAACATCACATGCCACAATTGAGTATTTTTGAACTCGTTGATGTGAGTTTAAGTAGCGCAGGTACACACCGAATTGTGGAACACGAAACCATACAGGTAGCTAGCGCGCCTCGCGCCGTCCGCCGGAACTATAACTTTCCTAATGCTACGTTGCCAATTCTCGCGCCAGCCTACACTCGAAATAGTGGCACCATGCCACAATTCAGTATATATCAACAGCGTGTGGACAGGATGCCACTTAATGAGCTGTAGAGCTTGAGCAGTGTGTAGAACAGTGCAACAAGCAACTAATAAACTAATAATACTATTAATACTATACTGCCACGTACTATAAAACAATTTAAGTACCATAAATAATATACTTTTGCTCCGAGTGGTGAACAATGTTTTACATTACAAATAATTTGTGTAGTAAATAATAATTTAAATTGATTTACCTAACCCGCCATGTTAAACTTCCCTATCCCAAGCGTGATGTATACAACTTCCTTACTTCTCGAGTGATGTAAAGTATCAAAAACTCACTCGGTGATGTAAAGAAACCCATTTAAATAACATTGAGTGCTTAACTTAAAAATATAACTCTATGGAGCCAACGATGTTCAACGCTAGAAATCAGCTGTGCACTTGAATGTTATTATTATGCTTTAAAGTATTTTCCTACCTAACCTAGCTTTTGTTAGTAAAAGAACGTTACTGATAGAAGATGAGTGAAATGGATAATGAAAAATATTGTACGTAAACCCATGTTTATTGTCGGGTCAGGTAAAATCTTGTACGTTACACGTTACGCAAGAGCGTGCTGTTTACATCACTTAGGTGAATTATGCAACTCGCTTCCGCTCGTTGCACAACGTTCACCTGCGTGAAGTAAAAATGCTCTTACTACACTTGTAATGTAAATAGCTATTACACAACCATTAAAAAATTGATTTTTGTTTACAAACATAAATTGGTGACATAGTTATTTTGTATCAATTGAATTTGTACACTGAAACGATAACAATGTTTGAGGTTAGAACGCTATATAAGTTGTCCTAGACTGCTTTTTTATCTTACAAACTATTTCGTGCTGATACATCTATTTTTTTAACATTTTAGTCATGTTGGCAAAATATTTTGCAATTACATTTCTGAATCAGTCAGTAAAGGTAGATTTCGATGCATCATTGCTGAAAGTTATGTTTTGCTTCTCACTCTCAGAGTATTCCAAAGACATCTAATGTTTCAATCCATGTTCAAATATTATATGAGGTAAACATATAACCGAATCAATTAAAGTACTTAAATTAAAATACATATTATTATCAACACACATAATCTAGTTCAGATTATAATATCATCTCACAATCATATTTGTAAAACCTACTGTGGTGTTTTAACCAGTCCCCACTAACAAAAGCATAAAATGAAAGGTCCTAAAGAGGTTAACATTAAGTCATAACAAAAGTAGTTTAAAAGTTGTAACCGTGATACTTTAAATAATTTGATATTGTTAGATATTATACGATCGTTTTACAATTTTGTCAATCTATCTGTTACTTTCATACAAATGTATTTTTATTATTCAATGTTTTGTTTTGTAGAACCTTTAGTATTCTCAACTTTATTAATAACTAGTAGAATACCCGACCTTCGTACGGGGTTGGCATATAAGTAGAACATGATCATTGCAGTGATGGGAGAGGAAACGGTCTAAGAAAATATGGTCTTTTAATTTATACGGTATCCTATAGTGTGGCACACATATACCTATAATAAAAGAATGTGTTTAATGGTATGCACTGTAAACGAAAACCTATCACAATAGTTCCAAACATGTTAATAGGGCAATTTTCTAACATATTTTAGTGAAATTATAATCAGGCAAACGGGAATTGGCTCAGTCTACAGGTTTGCTGGGGCAGGGGGATTATATTACTGTTTACAAACAAATAAATCAAAAGAATATACCCCATAACTCAGGATAAGGGCCTAGGTTGATAGGGCAATATAGAATGTTGATTATTTCCTATATCCATTGAATGATTTATTTTAAAATGAATTATTATAAAAATAAATACATAATATTACAACATTTCACAAATATTATAACAGACTCAGTATAGTTAGATCATAAACAAATGAAGTACTGTAACTGAAACAATCCTATAATAATGAAATTACATTAACATATGGTTTGACAGCTCCTTTAGGTAATGTTAAATAAATTCAGGCTAGTGACATCATTATTTTAAATTTATAATCCTTACCCTCTTTGTTCTAATATTCGTGCAGTATTTAATAAGGTTTGAACCAGCTGTGTTGAATTGAGAAATCAAAATCAATTTGACAGTTAGTTCTGCTTGTTTACATTTTTAAACTTACTAGGTTTGTTCTTTGTTACCATGGATACCATCAATCAATATTTACTTTTAAATCTCTCATCTCAGATTTTTGAAAGCCCACGGGGCAAAGCCCTAGGTGAATATCGAAGCGGTAATAGTTCTATATGTATCCTAGGAGCTGTAGCTTCATTTGTGTGCAATTTGAGCATAGTCGGATCAGTATTTTTTTAGATTAGCTCATACAAACACACACACAGACACCCCCTCTTCTTTATAATAGTATAGAATCTATATATATAAAAGGCAAAGCCCTCACTGACTGACTGACTGACTGACTCACTCACTCATCACTAATTCTCCCACTTCCCACTTACCTAGGAGGCTGAAATTTGGTACACTGATTCTTTAGGCATTAAATAGGAAAACTAAGTGGTTTTTATTCTGATCGGACTCTCGGGCTCCGCCCCAGTGGCTCTGGAGTTTCCCATGTTAACCTAATGAGTACTCATATTTAAATGGAATTAATGAATCATGACAGCTGTTTCAATTAAACAAGTTGGTTCTGTTCTATGATGTTCAATAGCATTAAAGTTACAAGGATTACCAAACAGAGTGCAGCACAATTATTTTTTTAATATTTGACAACAGCTAATTTGAAACCAAAAGGTGAGTGAGCGTAGCGAACGAACTTCACCCCTGAGGCGAGGTAGCGTAGCGAACGAGCTAACCTGAAGGCAAGTGAGCGCAGCGAACGAGCTCCAACCGTAAAGGTGAGTGTGCGTAGCGAACGAACTTCAATCAGGACGTGTGAGCGCAGCGAACGAGCTCCAACCTAAAGGTGAGTGAGCGTAGCGAATGAACTTCAACCAGGACGTGATTGAGCCATGCGAATGAGCTCACGTATGAAGTTAAACGGGGCAAAGCCCGCGGGTACAGCTAGTAGAATATAGAATAGAATAGATAGATAGATAAACCTATTTCAACGTACAATATCAGTTTTAGGAAATTCCTAGTAAGGTTGTTAGAAGTATATTGGCATCCGTGAAGTTTGTGTAATGTTTTTTAAAATCACTGTGGGATATATTTAACTTCACTTATTATTTATTTAATATGTTTCTACTTCTTGAAATTCTCAGTTAACTGGGAGGCGGAGCAAACAGTTTGTTCTAAAATGAACTTGAAAATTTTAAACAATCTTTTTCTGTTGGTTTACTTAAAGTATATAATGTTCTACTATGAATGCAAATCTTTAATAGGCCTATAGTCTAAATTTCCAGTCCCACCCTCAAAAACTATGATATTTAACAGTTGAATCTTTATAACGTATAAACACATTATTTTTAATCGGTCATCAAACTGATTCTTGAATTAGTAGTTGCAAGAGTACGTAAAACTGCAGAGAGTCCTTGAAAATGCTTGTGCAAAGATATAGTTTTAAATTATAAAAGAAACCCTTCAAAAAATTGTATTAACAGGACCAGAGGACCAATATGCACATGGTATTTCATTTGTATAAGGCAAAAAGTTCAAATCATATTAACTTATGATTGCCAATAGATTTTGGGTTTCCTTAAAACAATTATATAAAACTGTCTGCAAATGTCAATAAAACTGATTTTATAAGAACTTGTAGATTCTTCTGTTGCTCTGTAGGCGACCATTTTGGTCACACAAGGAAGTCCAAACTTATATCTTAGTTTGAACAACGTCATCTTGATTTTACATTGCTCAAGATACATAATTGACACATAGGCTTTCAAAAAAAATAAGTAAAGAAAGTAACTAGTGATGGACCGCGCAGACATAGGAACAGTCTAGACTTGCCTCTTACTGACGTTTTCCAAACAAATATAGA